GTGTGGCGCCATCTGTTATGAGATTTTATTGAAAGAACGTTTTATATTATTAATTATTTATAAAATGGCAAAATGTATAATTTTCGCGATAGGGATGGGTTTTATAAAAAAAAAATAGTAAATGCAAAGTCCTACCCAACTCGAGATACCACACACGACCCCATAATCTCCCCACCCCCTCGACCTTTAACCACCAAAATTTAATAGCATCGATCCCCCTAATAAATAAACCTTCCTGCAAAATTTCAGAAATTTTCGACTAAAGGCATAAGAATTATTAAGCTTTAAAGTTGGTGAACAAAATGGTGTCTCTCCGAACACACAAACATACATTTATCATTATTCCATCAATATAATTAATGTAAATTAATGTTTTCCTAGAAAAATCTTAGATTAGAATAAAGTAAGACTAGAAAAATAACTAGAAAAATGTCTTGTAAAGTTTTCCTTTAATTTTATTTTTGTCTAGGAAAGTTTACGTTACAGTTCAAATGTACAATGAACTATCATACGAGGAGCTGTCCATTAATTACATGCATGGCATAAGGAGGAGGAGATGGCGAAAAGTACAGTACATCGTTGTACACTGCGAGAAGAAGGAGGTCGAGGTATTGTCTATATGAACTTTTCGTGATATTAGTGGCATATGAATTCATTATTGTAAATCTCATGTGAATAAACCATTACTTTAAAACGTTCTGAAAATAATTTCAAAGTTATTTTTTCAAAATCAGAGGATCATAGAACTATTATACACGTAATTAAAGGGAAGAGGGTTTGCCAAAAGTACAGCACATGTACACAATATGGAGGGAGGGGATCAAAAACTGCACATAAAGTCACGAAAGGCTCCTAACTTCCTTCATGAACAGCACTGAAACCGAAACTAAAAACTAAAGCTTTCATATACAGTTCTAGAAATGTTATTAAACATAAAAAGAGCATATTTAAACAGAGTATTTAGTGAATATTTGAAAATTTCAGCCTTCTAAGATATGATAGGCTTATATTTGATCATATCAATATCTAAAATGAGATTAATAAAAGTAATTTTCTCTTAGACTTATTAGTAAAATATTCAAATATAAAATATTTAAAATGATTGTAGATAATTATATATAATTAAAATATCAAGAATGGAGAGATACGAGAAAGAAAATATTCTAAATATTTGATTAATAAGGACATTTGTAGACTAAAAAAAAGGCGATGAATTCAATGAAAAATAATAAAGAAAATCTAATAACAACCCTTGAGTTCATGCAAATATACCAGTTGGACTAATTAATTCCTTTATAAGAATACAAATCTACCATTTCATTAAAATTCATAAGCAAATTAATCCTTATTTTTACTTTAATTCCTCACTGGAATTCAATTATATAGAAAATACAAGCCATAGAATAGAGTTAAGTTTATAGCAACTTTCATAATCTACTTGTATGCATATTATCGATTTGCAAGAGGATTTATCGACTTGCAAGTAGTTTAAATAGATTCTAGTTAGTAGAAAACTTTTCTAACAATTCGAGAGAGTTTTTTATATTAATTTTTTTACTTTTGCACATTTAATTACTACCTAGACTTTGACTACAAACAAAAATTGTTCGATAAAATGGCGTGATAGGAGAGATCTGAACACATTCTAAACGTTGTAAAGCATGGAAACGGCTTGGTACGATATCGAACTGTTACTTCAATTATTTAACTATTAATAAATAAATATTTGTAACCAATTATTAATGCGTGTATATATATATATATATATATATGTGAAAGTTTTCTAAAAGAGATACATAGATAAATAGCAATTAATAAAGTGAAAGTTTGTTTAATTCATGTTTCCAACCGTCCTCATTAAATTTTAATTGAAGTTTTAAAGTAATATTTATGATATTTTAATTCTAATTAAGTGGTTATCGTGTGTAATAAACGTTATAATTTAGTTTATAATTGATATTGAACTTAGTCACATCAATTAAATTCAATAGAAGTATACTCGTAGCTTATCTACATCTTCTGTTTATTTTTTAAAATAATTTATAGATTCTAAAGGACGTATAAAGTTTAGAAAAGCGCATATATTTGTAAACATCTGCTTAAATTTAATTTTTAAATTAACAAGATACTAATTGGTATGTCTAGACAAAGAAGAAACGGCACCTGTCTAACATTTTTTTCTCATTTAGATGCACGTAACGTCTCTACAAACTAGCAATTCTCTCGAATTTCACGAAAGAAAATTAACATGGATTTTTAAAACACGAACCCTTGTATAAAAAATTAAAGAAAATATACAAATATTATTATATAAAACTTCAAATTATTAAATTTTTTAAGGTATAATGCGTGAGAGCGTCATCAAAATAATGTATTCTAGTGTAGAAGTTTAAGTATACGTATCCATTTATGCGCTGTGTTTAACAAAAATTAGTGTCTATTGTTTGTATTTTTTTTTCCTTTAAAAAATTCTTTATTATAAATATAATTAACTTTCTTTCAGCTCGAGGCATTAAACACGTTTAAAATAGGGGAGAAAAAAAATTGTGTAACATCTCGATAGTTAAATAAGAATTTTCCAATTAATGCGAGAACTCCAAATTAGAGCTTTGAAAAATATTGTTAATAAAGTAACTTTTGTTTAAAGTTTTATTACATTTTTTTTTAAAGTTTGTTAACAAATCTGAATGACTCGAGCCAATAATTAAACATCTGCAACACATAGGCAAACAGACAAAAAAAATGGAGTCTACATTCCTCAACGTTTAAACGTTACGTGACCGAACAACAAGCAGAACAATTGTAGAAAACGTCTATTGTTCGAAATTTTTAAGAGAAAAAGTAGTTTTGAAACGATTTTGACAGACATTTTAAAGCTGGAGCCACTATGATTGACAATAGATAAGTTGATAACCTAAATGATCAACACTGTGCAAAATAGCTGAGTAGAAAGGGAAGTTGGCTAAAAAATCTCCTTTAGTGTTTGACATCTCGACACAAAGTAAAACAAAGTAGATGCTAGATGCTTAATTAAACACATACATTTTGTTTACGACTTAGAAAAATAGGAGGTTTTTACAATAGACGTTCCTTTAAAGGTTTTACAAAGCTTGTTTCCTTTCTGTTCCATCAACAAAGAGAGAAAGATCNATGAGAGCGTTGGAGTCCAACAATTCTCTGTTGCAGCATGTGCATTGATTGATAACCGAGGTGCTCAAGATATAGATTTCATAGCGATTATCAATTTTAGCGGGTAAAAGAATCGATAGAGATGTTACCACAAAGAATAAGATTGATCATTTTTAGAAGTAGAACGAGTAGAATACATTACTGTGATGGATAATCCGCTCAATTTCTGTTTTAAGAGTGATTAAGAGCGCTGTAGGAGTTACTAAGTTCACTGAAATCGTTAATATTACTAAGAGCGTTATTAAAGATGCTCTAACAGTTATTAAAAGTGTTCTAGATTTACCAGCAATTCTTGAAGAAGCACCAAGTGCTCTAAACTTATTAAAATTCTGTAACAGCTACTAAAGATGATCTAAGTGCACTGACAATGCTTGAAGAAGCACCGATTGTTCTAAATTATTTGGGATGCATTAAGAACTATTAAAAATGTTCTAACAATGTTCGAAGAAGTACTGAATGTTCTAAGAAACATCACAATTGCTGTAGACTTATTAGGAATACTCAAAGAAGTACCAGATGTTCCAAGAATTAGTAACTGCTAAGAAAGTTCTAAGAATCAGTAAGAACTGCTCAAGTCATGACATGTACTATGAATGCTCGAAGGGCTACTAAAAGTGTCTTAACTTTATCAGGAATGCTTAAAGAAATACCATAGATTTAAGAATTCCCCTAATTGTAGAAGTAGCTGATCATTAAAATGAATAAGTTAAAAATTATTAAAAACTCCATATTACTTACTGTGACATCACCATAAAACGGGCCGCAATTTTAATATTTGAATTTTCGTGACTTCCGGTCTAAATTGGAAGTTCGTATACAGTTAATCGAATCCTCCATCCCCTGATCTTTCACAATTTTCATCTATCTAACTCGATTCTCAAGATTAACGAAGGACAGACAAACAGACGGACGAACGTACGGGTCTAGAGTTTTCTAAAAATTATTACGAATGATCAAAACGTCACTAGGAATGTTTGTTGCAATGTATAAACGCGTTAAAAGTTAGGAAAAGTACTCAAAAGAGTATTCTTCGAATTTTAATTCATAAATCTATAAGAAAGGGAAATATATAAAGTGATATAAAATTCGTAAAAAAAAAGTAAAAAATAAAAAAAAATTGGATGGGGAGAAACAAATGATTTCAGCGTAACCCTCCTAGTGAAAATGGCTTCAGTCACCAAAATGAATATCTAGTTTGTGAAGAAGAAACGATATATTTCAATCAGCATTTGACTTATCCATCATTGTTACAGAAAGAAGGGTGCAGATGACAGTAACGACATCATCCCTGACAGAAAAGATATTATCTACATTTCAATAGGTACGTCAATGAAGAAGATTCTTGCAACCTTCTCTCAAACGACCGACTAAATGCCTACTGGAAACACTTCTTTAAAAGTCTATTTAATTGCCTTAAGCTAGTTATAAATCCCCCCTCCTACAAGAAGAACAGCTCCTGGTATTCGAACAGAAGTATGTATTTTTCCATGCATTGCCAATCGAAGGATCGAACGACGACATTAATCATATAACTAGGAGCGGTTTAGATAAGATTAGGAATGTCTTCTCGTGTAACACGTCTTGAATATTAAACTTTGTAAAGATGGATTTTTTTTTACAACATAACTCGAGAACTAGTGTGTAATTCATTATGTTCTCTCGCCAATTTTTTTTTTCTTTTTGATTTAGCACTATTTTTAAATTTGTTCTCGTGTATTCCTGCTAAATATTCGCTAAGAAACGCCGCTCAAATCATTAAAAGTATGTTCGAAAACTCGAAATTTATTCTTTAGAAATAAATTTATACTCACATTTCTCTGATGCCATCATTTTTGAATTCGTAACTGCTTCAACTTCCTCTTCTTTGTTTGTTCTAACGTTGCACACCTTATCTTAAATGATGAGATAAATTCTAAAACACAGATTAAATAATATTTATTTATATTTGAACGTCGTCTAAATTATATTTTTGAATATTTAACGTCAATTAAATTAGTTTACGAGCTGAAAAAATAATGTTTTTGAATCGAAAAAACATCATTGTAAGTTGTTTGTAGGTCATTCACGTCCGACAATTTTCTGTCGCAGCATCATTTATTGATTGATGACAGTGGTGAAGAAATTACCAATTTTCTTTTGAGGGATACTTTTAAGCAATAACTTGAAGAAAATAACTGTTATAACACTTTACTTTCGCTAGTAATAAGGTAATTTGCTGTACATTTAGGTCTAAAAACAGGAAGATACGAACTTGATAATAATGGCATTAATAGTAAGAGCCATGTTTAATGAACGTAAATGCAAAATTAATTGAATATTTAACAAAATTATTAATGATACAATTGTAGAAAAGTATCACATCTAGAATTTACAGATAGTATTTTTAAAAAAAAGGTAAAGATATTAATAATCTGCTAACATCTTCAAGTTTCTAGCAAGCCTATTCTACTTTAAAAACGTATTAATATCCACGCTTACTGTATATAAATTTTAATTTTTATTAATTATATAGGCTGTGCAAAGGTTTAAACTTATAAATTCTGTAAGCATGTCGTTATAAAAGGGAATAAAATAAGCCCAAAACTCAAAAGAAATCGATCGATTCTAAGCTGTAAAGGGTCTTTTATCCGAAAAGGTGAAATTTCTAGCAATAACAAGTATCATGATTATCTTATTCACGCTCGAATTAAAATCATACACAACCTTTCAAACTGCATTATCTTCAAAAACAACAACTAGTTACTTGGCCAGAGGGTGGGAGATAAAATTCGGCGCCAGAGAGTAACCACTCCTAGAAAACGTTAAATAAATAGCATTTTTGGAATAATAAACACCACCTTTATCTCCGTATAAAGTATGTGAATAATTATACAACACTAGCAAATAGGATAAGAGGATTTTAAAAAGGGATAATCGATAAATCGATAAGAGAATGGTTCTTATCCATCTGATAAATCGATACAAATGTGCAAAATATCTCCAAGAGAATCGAGAAAAAAATAAAAAAGAAAAAAACAATTTAAATTGTGAAATTTTTGAAGTATTTCCGTGAAGAAACAATAAGAAAAATTTCAATTCTATTATTTATTATTAATTAAAAGTGGTAATAAAATCGTCTACTCGACATTCAACGCATAACTATGGATACCATTGTGCATACTAAGAAAGCATAGCGTGAGAATTTAGTTCGTTGACACGTCGACGACCTTTCTCATATCATAAACTAAGAAAATGCTTAAATGTTTACATTAAAAATCTCTTTTGACTGGTAATAAACACTTTGGTTGTTAAACGATATGATTTTTTTACCTTGATATATACGAATTGCCTACTTTAAAATCCCGTTTCTACATCTGGAATCCATCATTTTTATTGAGCAATTCTTTAAAACTCGACACGACTAAAATGGAATGTCGAAGCGTAAAAACAATGAAAAATTTATTACGTTCCACGTTACTTATAATCTAGCCAATCGTTCCACCAAGAATAAAAATTAAACTTTGTTTTTATTGGAGAAGAAATTTCTGTTTTTAGACACGAGCCGGCAATAAGACGTTTCGCCATTGTCCAAATGGTTCTAGTTATCTGTAAGAAGAATCTTCTTGTGTCGTGAGGTGGAACGCCTCTTCCCCGCCCTCGCACTTTAGACCATTAGCCCACTCCCACTTCTCTAGTTGGTTAGTGGCTGGCAATTGCTACAAACATGTAATCTGAGTTTGTGGCTCTTCGGCTTTTCAATATTCAATAAATGATGGCTACCAACCAAATTACTCTCCACTTAATTATCATTTTTCTTTGCAATTTCTCTACCTTTATGTCGCTTCTTTATTGGAAAATTCGCAACATTTTAATTCAAATATTTAAATTACTACAATAATGAAAAGTTTTATCAAGAAATCAATCGATAAAATAAAAATTTCATCGACTGATTTCTTGATAAAACTAATCGAAATTTTGGAATTTCTGTCTTTTATGTTGGAAAAAATTATAATTATTTGGTTTAATGTACAAATATATCTTTATAAAAAGAACAATTGTGTTTTTTTCTCTTACGTATTGTATGGAAATTTTTAGATTTTTACACTTCTAAATCTATTTTTTTAGCTATTTTACCTTTAACTATCATACATCTTCTGACATTATCCCCAAGTTTAGAGAAACTAATTGTTTATTTATTTACTTTCTTAAACTTAAGAACTTCTCAAAGTTAATTGCTTAATCGGCAAGATATTTAGACATAATTACTTATGTTCAAAATCTAATTTTAATCGTTTCTTCACTTAAGATGAATCACTCTTAGCATTCTAACTAAAAATAGGATTCTCTCCTGTTATATTATGACACGCGTAACTAATCCCATACAAATGACGTATCTTCTTACAAATTCAGTTAACTCGAACCAATTTTCCCATCCTTAAGGCCCATTAGTTAACAATTCATTAAGATCTGTTTATTTATTCCACTCCTTTCAGTTATTGGCCAATGGAAAATAATGAATAGCTAATCCTGTGTCTGTCCGGCATTAAACCTATATTAGGGAAGTGAAAATGAGCATTACCCTACAGCAACAGCTGGATGCATAAGCACCACGTGGCGCCAGTAGTAGCGATCTGATGCCAGGACCCCTTGGGGCAAGCCGTTTTATCACTTACCAGTCTGGGGTCCAACAGCGAAGTAGCTGTTCGTTCCAGGAGGTTGCCATTAACTGGGGTGTTCGAACAGTTGGAGATCCGTATTTGATTCTGCTACCTGGGTGGTGTTAGACCTTCATTGTTTGTCTGGCGCCTGCAGTTTGTAGCCACTTAACAGAGTAATCGAAAGATAAATTTCCATAGGTGGCATCTGTCTCCAATAACTAATTTTTTTACCTTCACTTTACTGCATTCGAATAGCCTAAGAAATAATACAAAATAATCAGTAAACTCTATAATAATACACAGTAAATTATACAAGGCATTTAAAATATTTTACGTGATTTATCTGTTTAAACATCCGAGACAATTCTCCTCTTCCTCTTCTTCTAAAGAAAAAAATCCTATAATTTTTGGAATGTTTTCTTTAATATTTATGACCTTGTTTACAAATAAAGTCATAAATTTTCTGCAGGAAAATAAATCTTCCAAATATCTATAACTCTTGTTTATTTATAAAAACACGCTAATGTGTTTTTATTATTTATAGATTAATTACATTAATTATACGACATTAAAAATTAATGCGCTAATTAACTTAATTTTTGATTTATATCCGTATCATCTCGTGTTAATTAATAAAATAATTAATTAAATATTTATCTAAATGACATTTAAAAAATCCGCCAATGAATTACAATAAAGCATTTACAAAAAGGAATTCAAAATTAATTTTAAAAAAATAAGAACAAATTTTTCTTATTCAATTCATTTTTATAAAATAACTCTCCTTTTTTTTAATCATTAAAGAGAATTTAAAAACTCACCTTTAATCATAATTAATTATTATTAAACAGAGTTTTAAACTAAATTAATTAATTAATTAATTGCCATTAAACATCTTTTATCATCTAATTTTCTCATGAAAAATATAAATTTTTAGGCTGATTTTACACATTTCTTTATCAATTATATATTAAAAGATTATGAAGAAACTAAGAATTATATTTAAGGATTATAGAAGTTAGGTTAAAATAACTATTTATTTTCTCATTTCCTTATTAAAATATCCTTTTATAAAATTAAATACTTTTTCCCTTAACTCTCCTCCATCAAAGTAAGCATCACATTCTCTATCTCTCTCGTAGAATAAAGCAAACATCTCCTTCTCACTTCTCTCTCTTTTCTCCTAAAGTAAGCATCTCTCTTCCTCATCTTATACAGTAGCCTTCAGCAATTAGGCATCTTCCTCTCGTCGAAACGATTCTTAAAAATAAAGGAAAAAATTATATATATATAGACTATATAAATTGAAATAAATTGTAAGAAATTAAAATTAAAAAAAAATAAAATTTTATTTTATTTTACTATTTTTCGATGTGTAAAGGTAGAAACTCTTCACCTGTGTGATCTCACGGCGACTTATTAGCATAAATTACTTGTCAGAAGGTTAAACAAAATAAAGGAGATCAATTCGTCAAACATCGTTTTGAGGGTTACTCTGTTTCCTTTCTGTACTTTATATTTTTTTTTTTCTTTTTAAATTTCTTCTTTTTACGTAGAAAATAAGTAAAAGAGAGACACGTGCTTCCATTAAGGAACTTCATGTCTCATGCCGTGGGAAACACTAGGGAGAGATTCAATGCGACACGTGTGTACTTCGTTACAGCAACTCCTATGTTGTTCTTTCTGTGACGTCCCCTCAAAAACAACACGCTTGGCTGGGATACAGCACTTGTCCATTAGCCTCTCCAAGTTGCTCAGTCACTCAGATCCAACTTGTGTCACCTTACAAACAGTTCCTATCTTAAATGTCTATAATATTGTTAAAAAATAAAATATTTCTCGATAAAGGTTCTTTCCAATATTTTATTTAAACTCTTATAAAATTAACTATTTATTCTTTTAACCTTAAAATTTTAAAATTTCGAATTTGAATCCTGTTTAGATTTTTGTTTCCCTCTTTCTTTATTTTATTTTTTTATTTTGTAAAATAAAAATAAATCGTGTTAAATAGAATTAATATTTTATATTAATATTTTAATTTTTTTTTTAAATTTTAATACTTTAGAGAAAAAAAATCATTTAAAAATTTATCTTAAAAATCAAGTAATTTTACTAAATTATAGAATATATTTAGATTAATTATTTTTAATTCAAATTGTTTATTATATAAATTTATTACAAGACATTAATTAATTTGTACAGAAACATTTTGAAAATTTAATTAATTTAAAAGATTTGTAATGCGAAATCCTAAAATGTTTGCTTCTCTGCTGCATTCCGGAACCATGCAGTGAAGCCGACTTTTGTTAAAATCAAAAAATTTAACGGGTTATAAATTATCGACGGCGATTATTTTTGACAAAATTCGAAATAAAATGAACAAAAATATTAATTTTTATCCGAAAATTTCAAATTTAATTAAAATTTAAACTATTAAAACTTACTATTACTTCGGTGCAAGTTACGGAGGTGATTAATGTGATTATGTATTAACCATGTGTACGGTAGAAGTTACTAAATGATGTCATAAGGGGATAGAAACGATCCAGAGGGATCTCTATGTCCCCAACACGTGTCCTAACCTTGTCCACAATAATGACTCTCATGGGAAAGCAAGCCTACTCGCCATCTAATGGACCTTACCTATCATCATTACGTGCCAGACATGGCCAAAAAGAATCCAGGGACCAAAATGTGTTCAGTATGAGTAAAGTACCCTTTGGATATGCTTCGATACGGGATTAAAGTAAAAATCGATTATTAGCCTTAGACTTACGATAAAATTTCATCTGCTTGTCACGTTTGAGTGATATTAATTGTTCCACCTTCTTTACTCTGGCGATGCTAAAAGGCAGATGAAATAATTTTGAAAAAAAATATATGCATATTAAACATAATAATTCGACATAGTATAGTTATATAAGCCTAAGTGGCCTCGAGAGATTCGATTTATCATCCTCCAACATTCTTAAAAATCGCCAATGTCTCAACTCTGTGTAAAGTTTTTGAGATTTAGAAGTTTTAGAATTAAATTATAGATACAATGCTTTATAATGTGGTGAGCTTTTCTAACATTTTAAAGATATTCACAGACATACGAACCAAGATATAACCGATAAACAAGAAAAATGGATAACAGTGAAGTATAAGATTGATGATAAACAAGATAACTTATTTTCAATTCGTGTAAAGGATAATGAAGAGTATCACATGATTAGAGGTTAGGATTTTTAAGAAATTTGTAAAATTTTGTCATTTCTACAGTTCAGTATTCAACATATAGTTAGATAATAGAATAAATACGTTAAATTATAGAAATTTACAGAGATTGTATTAAGTTAACATGTCAACCAGTTAGAAAAAGAAACATAATGGTGTGATATAAGTAAAATGTGATACTTTCTTGTAATTTTTAAAGATGTTTAGAATAATATTATATTAGATTATTTTAATGCTCTCATAATTAATGTTTTTTAGGAATTATCATTATATAACTCCTAAAGAAATGCTGGCATCTTTCAGATGAATTTGAAGACGAAACGAAGATAATTTTCAAAAAGTAAATTGAGAAAAGAGGAAGGAGAAAAATGACGTCAACATCCATGTAACTACAACGGATGACAAAGTAACAATTGAACGTCTACAACTCAAGCAATTAGCCTTAAAGCAAAAGCTGCGATTAATCGGCATTTATAAATATAAGGGAGCTAATAAAAATTTAGGATGAAGTAATATATTATCAGCTGTCAACAAAGATGGGAGAATACAAAGCATTCAATAATAACGGAATTGGCAACCGGGATTCCCATTTGCTTGTGGAAAGAGAAATAGGAAATGAACTTGAGGTTGACCGAAATTGTCTCTTTGTGTCGGTTGGTAGTGACCCACGTCCAAAATGACCATTTCCTGAACCGAGGGGAGACACTAACAACCCTTTTATTTCAACCTCTTCTGCTTTGTATCGCCGCTATGCAGACAATAGACTTTCGCTTCATTGTCTCTACGTCATTAATATACTTCCCCTCAATAGGGTCTAGTTTATGTTTACACCAACATTTTATGCAGTTTTACATCCTCCGAAACCGTATTTTAAAGTGAAATTTTACATTAAAGACGGAATTTTATGGATCTACTTTTATTAAATACTATATAAATAGAATATACGAGCAAAATAAAATTTTTACAGATAATTTATGTTTATAAGTTGACATCTCTATGCGGTTTCCTATTAAAAAGTTTATATATATTTTTCGATGGTGGCACCATCTCTGAAGTAAAAACGTAGACAATTTAAAAATCGTGTTTAAAAAATTACCGAAAATCGATTTAATTCCGTTTAAAATTTCATTTACTTTCAAACTCTCTTAATTAAATCTTATAAAATTAGAACCTTCGACACTTTAATAGGTAAAAAGTGTGTAATAAACAACTAGTTTCGTATTGAAATTATGTTTTCAAACGTTTATTTATTTATTTATAAAGGAAATTATTCAGAAAAATCGTAATAATTTCCTAAAATAAAGGTATTAACTAACAAAGCATCCAGCTGAGTGAGTGAACGAGAAGAGGAATCAATTCGTCATCTGAGAAATTCAAGATTTTTCTTTCTTTATGTTTATAGGGATAAAAATGTGGATAGAATGGTATAATTTGACAAGAATTGAAAGCTTTTCTACATCTTATCGTCTAGAGGATTGTTTGGAAAATATATTCCCTCATATTAGAAAAAATTGCAAAGAATAGGAAAGAAGACAGTTAAAGATGTCTGGAAGATCCCCCTTCTTCATAATAGCCCCGCAGTTATGTTTTACGATGATATATAGCTGTTTAAGAAGACAACGATTTAAAATACAGTAGTTAAAGCTCGCCAAACATATCTTTCGACCGTACAACATCAGTACGACAAGACAATCATGTTTTTAGAACACGGCCATTACTTATTGAAGAAGAGATCCTCTTCTCCAAATACTTAAAATCAGTCGTGCTTACAAAATTACCAATCGAACTGGAAAAATGTTTTTCTCTTTTTTTAAAAAAAATCCATTTAGAAAAAGGAATGAACAGGAAAAAAATATTAAAAAAATCTACCAAAAGTTGGATTGGACTGTTTAAAATCGATTGAAGTTCTCCTGAACGATAGGAGAACCAAGAAGACATCGTGTCATCCTTGTTCAACTATACATGGCTGCACATGTTGGGCAATTCAGCAAAATGCTATTAAACTAAGCAAATAGAAAATTTATTATGTGGATAATAAAATTAATAACCCTCATCAGATAATAATTTCAGTTACAGTAGAGTTACCCCGAAGGAAAACGCTATGGGTCTAAACTTCGAATTATCGTATTGCAATTGCGTGTATAATTTAAATTTATCAAATAAAATAATAAAAAAAAACTCGTAGGATTTTGATAGATTTATTAAATTTGCGGTAAACTTCCTGAAATAAAATGTCATTATTCTACGCTACAGTGATCCATATAAATCCCTTAAAACTCCAATCCTCTACAACGGTTCTATATCCTATATTTCTAAATGGGAAGTAAAATCGTCTAAGCGGAAAATTTTCTATATTCCTGAGACACATTGAGTAGAAGATAATCCTTACAGGATTAGGAAATAAATTGCTTACCTTAATTTAGTTTCTAGCTATGCACTAAGTTGTTATGCACTTGTTCCTCTCTCTTTATATAGGCCCTTCACTATTCTTCGCTGTCAATGCCAATTCAATTGATAGAACTTTAATGGAATAAAATTCATTTATGTTTATATTTCTTCTGATAATTCACTTCTTTATCTATAATTCTTCTAATTTTTCCTATTCAAAAACAATAAATAATTTTAATATCAAAGATTTAATAAGTATAAAAATGGTTAAAAATAACTTAAAAATTAATGTTTTCTAATTAAAAAAAAACAGGAAAATTGCCAAAGATAAAGGAAAATGAAGAAAAATTTATCAGAACAAAATTAAAATCAGATAATAAATAATTTAAGATTTTAAAAATAATAATAATATAGCAAGAAAAACATATGACTCATTTAAATTTATAATAAAATAAATATTACAAGATTTTAAGTATGGATAATTGTATATTAAGTTTATCTTATTATAAATCTATAAAATAGAGAAGAAAAAAGTATAATTTAAAGGTAAAAAAAATGGAATGTAACTTCATTATCTGTTTAAAGATTGCAAGAAGAAGCTTAGAACAGTTAAGAAGCGACTAAGAAAGTTTCTTAACAAACATCTTCATTTCTAGTTAGTTAAAGAACGACTTTTCGGGTTCTAAAACACGAAGAAGAGTCAAAACGAGAAAAAAATAAAAATAAAAATAAAAATTTCTTCTAAAAGTCGTCCAACTGATTAGCCGAAATTCGACTTTCTTTCAAAACTTTTACTTTTCACTAATGGCTAACGTAAAAGCTGCCATTAGTTGAAAAGTTCTAAATAATTTCTTTTAATTGGCTTCCTGAATGACGAAAGACTTTACTTATTTTTCTCTTTCGGACTAATTAAAGTATAACTTTGATCTTTAGAACTGTAATGCTTAGAAAATCAATCTTCATCATGTCAAACAACAACAATATACAGTTTACCCTATAAATATATAATATAATAAGGCTTACTATTAGGCCTAATTTATATATAGTTTACTTTAGTTAGGCCTAACTATATTTTAATAATTTTCAAGTTTAATTTAAATTTACATAGAATAAAAATAAATTATTTATAATTTTACACGTTATATTTATATATTATATTTATAATATCGATGTTTAAACCATTGTTTCTTTATAGTTTACAATTAAAGAAACAAAGACCTACTACATTAGGCCTAACTTATAAGTATTTATATGCAAGTTAGGCCTAACTATATGTTAGTTATTTTCAAGTTTACTCAGTGGCTGATTATCCAATAGGGGCACAAGGCGCGCGCCTTGGGCCTCGTCGTCACAAGGGGCCTCAAAAACTACATAGCAAAAAGATAATATGCCTCTAAGACTTTAGTAAACGTTTATAGCGTATATTATAAAGAAAAACTTGCTATTATTTAAGGGTTTTTATATATTAGGGCCTCGAAGAAACATAATCCGCTACTGCTTACCAGAGTAAAAATCTTGCGTACTTTAGAGCTTAGGATTAGTGAAAATATTAGAGGGAGGCCTCAAAATTGAATTGCGCCTGGAGCCTCTCAAGTGCTAAATCCGCCACTGAGTTTAAAGTTAGATACGATAAAAATAAAATATTGGCAATTTCTGCACTCTTATATATATATATATAATAGCGATGTTTACGCCATTGTTTCTTTAATAGTTTACAATTTTTGANTTATATATTAAAAGATTATGAAGAAACTAAGAATTATATTTAAGGATTATAGAAGTTAGGTTAAAATAACTATTTATTTTCTCATTTCCTTATTAAAATATCCTTTTATAAAATTAAATACTTTTTCCCTTAACTCTCCTCCATCAAAGTAAGCATCACATTCTCTATCTCTCTCGTAGAATAAAGCAAACATCTCCTTCTCACTTCTCTCTCTTTTCTCCTAAAGTAAGCATCTCTCTTCCTCATCTTATACAGTAGCCTTCAGCAATTAGGCATCTTCCTCTCGTCGAAACGATTCTTAAAAATAAAGGAAAAAATTATATATATATAGACTATATAAATTGAAATAAATTGTAAGAAATTAAAATTAAAAAAAAATAAAATTTTATTTTATTTTACTATTTTTCGATGTGTAAAGGTAGAAACTCTTCACCTGTGTGATCTCACGGCGACTTATTAGCATAAATTACTTGTCAGAAGGTTAAACAAAATAAAGGAGATCAATTCGTCAAACATCGTTTTGAGGGTTACTCTGTTTCCTTTCTGTACTTTATATTTTTTTTTTTCTTTTTAAATTTCTTCTTTTTACGTAGAAAATAAGTAAAAGAGAGACACGTGCTTCCATTAAGGAACTTCATGTCTCATGCCGTGGGAAACACTAGGGAGAGATTCAATGCGACACGTGTGTACTTCGTTACAGCAACTCCTATGTTGTTCTTTCTGTGACGTCCCCTCAAAAACAACACGCTTGGCTGGGATACAGCACTTGTCCATTAGCCTCTCCAAGTTGCTCAGTCACTCAGATCCAACTTGTGTCACCTTACAAACAGTTCCTATCTTAAATGTCTATAATATTGTTAAAAAATAAAATATTTCTCGATAAAGGTTCTTTCCAATATTTTATTTAAACTCTTATAAAATTAACTATTTATTCTTTTAACCTTAAAATTTTAAAATTTCGAATTTGAATCCTGTTTAGATTTTTGTTTCCCTCTTTCTTTATTTTATTTTTTTATTTTGTAAAATAAAAATAAATCGTGTTAAATAGAATTAATATTTTATATTAATATTTTAATTTTTTTTTTAAATTTTAATACTTTAGAGAAAAAAAATCATTTAAAAATTTATCTTAAAAATCAAGTAATTTTACTAAATTATAGAATATATTTAGATTAATTATTTTTAATTCAAATTGTTTATTATATAAATTTATTACAAGACATTAATTAATTTGTACAGAAACATTTTGAAAATTTAATTAATTTAAAAGATTTGTAATGCGAAATCCTAAAATGTTTGCTTCTCTGCTGCATTCCGGAACCATGCAGTGAAGCCGACTTTTGTTAAAATCAAAAAATTTAACGGGTTATAAATTATCGACGGCGATTATTTTTGACAAAATTCGAAATAAAATGAACAAAAATATTAATTTTTATCCGAAAATTTCAAATTTAATTAAAATTTAAACTATTAAAACTTACTATTACTTCGGTGCAAGTTACGGAGGTGATTAATGTGATTATGTATTAACCATGTGTACGGTAGAAGTTACTAAATGATGTCATAAGGGGATAGAAACGATCCAGAGGGATCTCTATGTCCCCAACACGTGTCCTAACCTTGTCCACAATAATGACTCTCATGGGAAAGCAAGCCTACTCGCCATCTAATGGACCTTACCTATCATCATTACGTGCCAGACATGGCCAAAAAGAATCCAGGGACCAAAATGTGTTCAGTATGAGTAAAGTACCCTTTGGATATGCTTCGATACGGGATTAAAGTAAAAATCGATTATTAGCCTTAGACTTACGATAAAATTTCATCTGCTTGTCACGTTTGAGTGATATTAATTGTTCCACCTTCTTTACTCTGGCGATGCTAAAAGGCAGATGAAATAATTTTGAAAAAAAATATATGCATATTAAACATAATAATTCGACATAGTATAGTTATATAAGCCTAAGTGGCCTCGAGAGATTCGATTTATCATCCTCCAACATTCTTAAAAATCGCCAATGTCTCAACTCTGTGTAAAGTTTTTGAGATTTAGAAGTTTTAGAATTAAATTATAGATACAATGCTTTATAATGTGGTGAGCTTTTCTAACATTTTAAAGATATTCACAGACATACGAACCAAGATATAACCGATAAACAAGAAAAATGGATAACAGTGAAGTATAAGATTGATGATAAACAAGATAACTTATTTTCAATTCGTGTAAAGGATAATGAAGAGTATCACATGATTAGAGGTTAGGATTTTTAAGAAATTTGTAAAATTTTGTCATTTCTACAGTTCAGTATTCAACATATAGTTAGATAATAGAATAAATACGTTAAATTATAGAAATTTACAGAGATTGTATTAAGTTAACATGTCAACCAGTTAGAAAAAGAAACATAATGGTGTGATATAAGTAAAATGTGATACTTTCTTGTAATTTTTAAAGATGTTTAGAATAATATTATATTAGATTATTTTAATGCTCTCATAATTAATGTTTTTTAGGAATTATCATTATATAACTCCTAAAGAAATGCTGGCATCTTTCAGATGAATTTGAAGACGAAACGAAGATAATTTTCAAAAAGTAAATTGAGAAAAGAGGAAGGAGAAAAATGACGTCAACATCCATGTAACTACAACGGATGACAAAGTAACAATTGAACGTCTACAACTCAAGCAATTAGCCTTAAAGCAAAAGCTGCGATTAATCGGCATTTATAAATATAAGGGAGCTAATAAAAATTTAGGATGAAGTAATATATTATCAGCTGTCAACAAAGATGGGAGAATACAAAGCATTCAATAATAACGGAATTGGCAACCGGGATTCCCATTTGCTTGTGGAAAGAGAAATAGGAAATGAACTTGAGGTTGACCGAAATTGTCTCTTTGTGTCGGTTGGTAGTGACCCACGTCCAAAATGACCATTTCCTGAACCGAGGGGAGACACTAACAACCCTTTTATTTCAACCTCTTCTGCTTTGTATCGCCGCTATGCAGACAATAGACTTTCGCTTCATTGTCTCTACGTCATTAATATACTTCCCCTCAATAGGGTCTAGTTTATGTTTACACCAACATTTTATGCAGTTTTACATCCTCCGAAACCGTATTTTAAAGTGAAATTTTACATTAAAGACGGAATTTTATGGATCTACTTTTATTAAATACTATATAAATAGAATATACGAGCAAAATAAAATTTTTACAGATAATTTATGTTTATAAGTTGACATCTCTATGCGGTTTCCTATTAAAAAGTTTATATATATTTTTCGATGGTGGCACCATCTCTGAAGTAAAAACGTAGACAATTTAAAAATCGTGTTTAAAAAATTACCGAAAATCGATTTAATTCCGTTTAAAATTTCATTTACTTTCAAACTCTCTTAATTAAATCTTATAAAATTAGAACCTTCGACACTTTAATAGGTAAAAAGTGTGTAATAAACAACTAGTTTCGTATTGAAATTATGTTTTCAAACGTTTATTTATTTATTTATAAAGGAAATTATTCAGAAAAATCGTAATAATTTCCTAAAATAAAGGTATTAACTAACAAAGCATCCAGCTGAGTGAGTGAACGAGAAGAGGAATCAATTCGTCATCTGAGAAATTCAAGATTTTTCTTTCTTTATGTTTATAGGGATAAAAATGTGGATAGAATGGTATAATTTGACAAGAATTGAAAGCTTTTCTACATCTTATCGTCTAGAGGATTGTTTGGAAAATATATTCCCTCATATTAGAAAAAATTGCAAAGAATAGGAAAGAAGACAGTTAAAGATGTCTGGAAGATCCCCCTTCTTCATAATAGCCCCGCAGTTATGTTTTACGATGATATATAGCTGTTTAAGAAGACAACGATTTAAAATACAGTAGTTAAAGCTCGCCAAACATATCTTTCGACCGTACAACATCAGTACGACAAGACAATCATGTTTTTAGAACACGGCCATTACTTATTGAAGAAGAGATCCTCTTCTCCAAATACTTAAAATCAGTCGTGCTTACAAAATTACCAATCGAACTGGAAAAATGTTTTTCTCTTTTTTTAAAAAAAATCCATTTAGAAAAAGGAATGAACAGGAAAAAAATATTAAAAAAATCTACCAAAAGTTGGATTGGACTGTTTAAAATCGATTGAAGTTCTCCTGAACGATAGGAGAACCAAGAAGACATCGTGTCATCCTTGTTCAACTATACATGGCTGCACATGTTGGGCAATTCAGCAAAATGCTATTAAACTAAGCAAATAGAAAATTTATTATGTGGATAATAAAATTAATAACCCTCATCAGATAATAATTTCAGTTACAGTAGAGTTACCCCGAAGGAAAACGCTATGGGTCTAAACTTCGAATTATCGTATTGCAATTGCGTGTATAATTTAAATTTATCAAATAAAATAATAAAAAAAAACTCGTAGGATTTTGATAGATTTATTAAATTTGCGGTAAACTTCCTGAAATAAAATGTCATTATTCTACGCTACAGTGATCCATATAAATCCCTTAAAACTCCAATCCTCTACAACGGTTCTATATCCTATATTTCTAAATGGGAAGTAAAATCGTCTAAGCGGAAAATTTTCTATATTCCTGAGACACATTGAGTAGAAGATAATCCTTACAGGATTAGGAAATAAATTGCTTACCTTAATTTAGTTTCTAGCTATGCACTAAGTTGTTATGCACTTGTTCCTCTCTCTTTATATAGGCCCTTCACTATTCTTCGCTGTCAATGCCAATTCAATTGATAGAACTTTAATGGAATAAAATTCATTTATGTTTATATTTCTTCTGATAATTCACTTCTTTATCTATAATTCTTCTAATTTTTCCTATTCAAAAACAATAAATAATTTTAATATCAAAGATTTAATAAGTATAAAAATGGTTAAAAATAACTTAAAAATTAATGTTTTCTAATTAAAAAAAAACAGGAAAATTGCCAAAGATAAAGGAAAATGAAGAAAAATTTATCAGAACAAAATTAAAATCAGATAATAAATAATTTAAGATTTTAAAAATAATAATAATATAGCAAGAAAAACATATGACTCATTTAAATTTATAATAAAATAAATATTACAAGATTTTAAGTATGGATAATTGTATATTAAGTTTATCTTATTATAAATCTATAAAATAGAGAAGAAAAAAGTATAATTTAAAGGTAAAAAAAATGGAATGTAACTTCATTATCTGTTTAAAGATTGCAAGAAGAAGCTTAGAACAGTTAAGAAGCGACTAAGAAAGTTTCTTAACAAACATCTTCATTTCTAGTTAGTTAAAGAACGACTTTTCGGGTTCTAAAACACGAAGAAGAGTCAAAACGAGAAAAAAATAAAAATAAAAATAAAAATTTCTTCTAAAAGTCGTCCAACTGATTAGCCGAAATTCGACTTTCTTTCAAAACTTTTACTTTTCACTAATGGCTAACGTAAAAGCTGCCATTAGTTGAAAAGTTCTAAATAATTTCTTTTAATTGGCTTCCTGAATGACGAAAGACTTTACTTATTTTTCTCTTTCGGACTAATTAAAGTATAACTTTGATCTTTAGAACTGTAATGCTTAGAAAATCAATCTTCATCATGTCAAACAACAACAATATACAGTTTACCCTATAAATATATAATATAATAAGGCTTACTATTAGGCCTAATTTATATATAGTTTACTTTAGTTAGGCCTAACTATATTTTAATAATTTTCAAGTTTAATTTAAATTTACATAGAATAAAAATAAATTATTTATAATTTTACACGTTATATTTATATATTATATTTATAATATCGATGTTTAAACCATTGTTTCTTTATAGTTTACAATTAAAGAAACAAAGACCTACTACATTAGGCCTAACTTATAAGTATTTATATGCAAGTTAGGCCTAACTATATGTTAGTTATTTTCAAGTTTACTCAGTGGCTGATTATCCAATAGGGGCACAAGGCGCGCGCCTTGGGCCTCGTCGTCACAAGGGGCCTCAAAAACTACATAGCAAAAAGATAATATGCCTCTAAGACTTTAGTAAACGTTTATAGCGTATATTATAAAGAAAAACTTGCTATTATTTAAGGGTTTTTATATATTAGGGCCTCGAAGAAACATAATCCGCTACTGCTTACCAGAGTAAAAATCTTGCGTACTTTAGAGCTTAGGATTAGTGAAAATATTAGAGGGAGGCCTCAAAATTGAATTGCGCCTGGAGCCTCTCAAGTGCTAAATCCGCCACTGAGTTTAAAGTTAGATACGATAAAAATAAAATATTGGCAATTTCTGCACTCTTATATATATATATATAATAGCGATGTTTACGCCATTGTTTCTTTAATAGTTTACAATTTTTGAAGATTATTATAGACGTCCTTCAATGTTTAATAATAAACAATGGTAAAACACTATGTTTCGAAAGAATGGAAACTTATTTTTTCTGCGATTTTTAAGTTAAATTATATATAATTTATTTATTTATTTTTATATAGTAAAATAATATATTAAATTTTTCTTTATTTTCGTTTCTTAACATTTTTTTGTGTCTATTTTTTTAAATTAAATTAAAATAAGTAATTAGTATTATTTAGAAACAACAGATGGCAGGATTTGTTACTTTAATACATGTTTGATGCCAGTTAATAAGTGATAATTATAATATATATTTAATTTTTTAATTAGTAATATTAATTACTT